TGTTTGGTGAAGACGCTGACAAAATTCAGTCTTTTGACTACGCTGAGCAACAGTGCAAGCATGTTCGATATGTGTTTTTTCCTCTCGAAATGCAAAATATTTCTTCAAGATTGGCTTGCGTCAGCACCTGAACTGGTGATAGGGTAATGAAGCTGTTGAGCGCGTTAACCGCTGCAGTTATATCGAGGTCTCATCATTGCTAAGGACCCGGTGACTGACAGAATTTTAGCACACATACAGTAGGCTCAGTTGTCTTAGGCGACATATCCATTTGCTAACCAAAAGACGGGTTTACTGCACAGCAATCCCATCCGTCTCACTTTATGGCTGTGAAACATCACCAGTAAGAGTAGAAGACTTTCGCGGGGTATTAGTATTCGATTATAAATGTCTTCGAAGCATTGCTCGTGTATCCTGGGACGACCGAGTAAGCAGCGCTGTTATTAGGAAACGGATGCCAGGTAGGGATGGCAGGTCGATAGATGGAGTATTGAAACTTCATCAGTTGAGGTCGTTGGGGGCATGTGTTACGAATGTCCGACCACCGAATGCATCGCCGAGCTATGCCTTGCGATGTAGGAATAGGTTGGAAAAGAGCTAGGAGTGGCCAAGCGAAAGCATAGCTTCTGAATGAAGACCTACCCCCTCAGGCAGATTTTAAATGGTTTGAAATATTTTTTCTGGTTACCGTTATTTTAGCTGGTTATGTTTCTACGGAAAAGTATAGCAAACATCATGCCTAATCCCCCTTGTTTATCCATGCTTGGAGCCGGAAGCAGCTTTCGAAGGACTCCAGGCAGACTACTACCCTAGGTAATGCTGAAATGCACTTTCTTTGAGTACTAATGGATACGCCTCTAGTGATGTCAAAACCTTAAACTCAGCTTGCATGATATCAACCATAGTTTACTAACAAGGGGGTCCAGAATTTATCTCGGAGTAACTACAAAATATTTAGGCGCAATTTTCAAACTTCCAAGTCAAACTATTTCGATCTTTTATGTTTTTATGAAAACATAAAATTCATTGGTTCTCATTTTTAATGATGGTGTTAAATATAGTGATCTGTTAAATTCCAAGTGTCCTTGGAACGGCAGAGCCTGCAGTGTGAAATTCATAAACCAGAGGTCACGTACATCCACAACAACTAACAATGAAAAATCCATTTATCGATAGTCGATCACACGTCGTTGAAATCGTGCATGAATTGTGTTGACTACTTACAAACAGGTTAAAAGATGCTCTTATTTTGACTGTGAGCTCTAACAAACTTCTTCATCTGCAGTCTTTTTCTGACACACACGTGGTAGTGACGTACCGTCAATATACCGGTAACTAATGCCGTGTATGGTGTGCGCTTACACACCATGGAAACATCTAACTGATTCTTTCAGGTCAGCTTCAAGATCAAATTACTGTGTCGATGGCCGAAGTAGTAGTTTTTGATGAGCTTGAGAAGAAACATTAGGTCACCGAAGATGCTGTCATCTCACCTTTTTCCATTCGGGAACTGTTCCATTTACCCTAGTACTCAGTTTTCGGCCATGAAGTAAGTCTTTACCCACTCGTGTACTAAATCCGCAATTCTGAATCTCAAAAGTTCTTGCAATAGCCCTTACTGAGAAACCTTATCAAACGCTTGCCTAAAATCGGCGAATATTACATTGACAGATATTCTCCAGCTGCTGACCAGTCCCCTTTCGCAATATATACGTCAGTAAATCATCAATGCTTACTACGAAACCCGTTTTTCTCAGAATCCAAGAGATTGTGTAATTGCACAACCTAGTATATAGGTCCGGGTTATTTTCTCAAGTAACTTAAATGCCATGCTGGTTAAACTGACTGGTGGGTAGTCAGAGACATTTTATCGCTTTCCATATTTAAATATAGGACTAGTTACAGCAGCCCTAATAATACCTAGGGAGTTGAGCCTGGTAAAATGATATGTTGAATGGCGTTTCAATATTGTCCGCGAGGGACAGCAGCAATGGTGACTGTAACCTATTAGGACCTGTGAATTTTCAGGATTGATTTTAGTAACCCAATAAAGGACAGCTTCTCCAGTCTTATGTACTGGTTATGGAGTCGATACGTCGTTGACAAAGTTACAAGATGTGCTGTTAAAAATACCAATAAAAATTTCTTACCCAAATAGTTTGATAAAGTTACAGCCTTGTCTAAATCTGACAAGGAAAAACGATGGCTCCTGATCCGTTGGAATGAGCCAACCGGAAAACATTTCCTTTCATGGCGGTATTTTCAGGTTTCCTTATCGACCTATGGACGGCACTGTGACAGCTGACGTGTAGAACATGGGATGACAGTGGTTTCAGCCTCCAATGAACTTACTCTTTTCATCTTCGATCGACTCAAGTACATCGTTCGTCAAAAATATTCCTGGAAAGTTTTTCTCCAAGACGAAACTTCCCGTAAACCGTGAATTAGGTATCCCTTCCATTCCGGTTTTCCGGTTTTAGGTCATTAAGAGCATCCTCAAATTTAATCCATTCTTCATATTCGTATTCGAATTAAGAGTTTCACTAAGAGTTTCTCACTAAGAATTGTGTTTTATCAGGCGACACGAGGGAAAAGACTTAGTGTTTGTGGGGTGAGGGGAGGGGGTGGGGGGTGGGGGGTGGGGGGGGGGGGGGTGGTGTGTGGGAGGGGGAGGGGTGGGGGACCGGGTGGGGGGGGGGGGGGGGGGGTGGGGGACAGACTCGGGGGGGGGTCCAGGAGGGATAACAGCGGGTGGTGCTGGACTACATTCAGAAATAGATTGAAGCTCTTTACGTGGTCGTTTATCCTCAACGGTAAGTTCACACTGTTTTTCTCCAGGACGAAACTTCTCGTAAACCGTGATTTCTATGGTTTGCTCTTCCATTCGGTTTTCCGGTTTTAGGTCATTAAGAGCATTCTGAAATTTAATCCATTCTTCATATTCGTATTCGAATTAAGAGTTTTATGTGCCTCACTAAGAATAATATCGCTTTGTTTGTCACTTCCAAGCTCTAGCTTCGAAAATTTCTTGCCTTGCTTTTGCCTCCAGATCACTTACCGAGTCCTATCAACCTAATCTTGCTTACTTCAAAAACTCAGACGTGCAACACATATTTGATGGCAGATTCCACTAACTTGATATCATGTCCATGTCCTTTATCAGGGTCAATGTTTTCGACCATTTCGATTCCAATTAGCTAAAAATGAAACCATCTAAACTTCTGTTTAAGGTTTGTTTGGGGCTTTCGACCAGGTTGTTATTTCTTTTCTACAAACAACCTACCCTTTCACAATATCTAAAATATGTTTCTCCAACTCTAGATCAGCAATGAGAACTGGTTAAAATTCCAAAGCGACTACTCTTTTTTCCTTGTAGTGGAACGCGATTGGTGAAATGGAGGCATTTATGATTGTGCACAACTGCGACAATAACTGTTTTATCTTACTCTTTTTAATTAACTGTACTAAAATCCATTACTTACCCGCTTGACGTGTAGCTAACGTTGATTAGTTGCCTCGGTGGTTTTTATCTGCTTTCGAATCGCTTGTCTTGATGTCTTTTCGATATCACGCGACCATCAATCATTACACCTCGTCCTTCAATTACAGCCTGCCTATTGATATTTGCCCTTAACAGGATCTAACTTATTTGTCTCGCGATTATTTGTCTCAATTTGCTACAGCCTCATCATCTAATGGCATACCAACTGAGTGGGAATTGTCATTCAGCAACATCAATAAAGTAGGGATATTCAAATCTTCATTCATGAGAATAGCCGTTTTCTATTGATAGTCGCAGTGAGACCGGTTTACAAAATCATTAATGCGCGACGAGCAACAGATAGGAACACATTTTGTGAGACCATATCTTACACCTGTGGTACTACATACCATCTTCAACAGGTAAGAAGCACAACAGTCTACTCCCGTGGTGAATTCGGATAACCATTCTAAGCAGAATGATGTGGATAGGACAAAAAAGTTTTGGACACCCAACCACAAAACGTAAAAAACAGTAACTTTACTACAGTAACTATAAGTTAGGCCAGTTCCATCCAAATTAAAAAACCTTAAGAAAATCGTTCATCTAGACCAGCAAAATGGCAGCAATAAAATGGTATATAAAAGTAACTTGATGCTGGTGCAGGCGGAAGTATGAAACAAGTTGGAAAGGTACTTCACGTACGAAATAGCTTTTAATGCGTTCAGTATGCGTTTAAATGTAATTTCTGCCATTAAAACTCAGAAGAACATTAATATTTCAGCAAGCGTAAAGCCGAGTGCCTTTTGTCAAATCGCGGGGATATATTGAAAGACTTGTGCGTAACTCATTCGAAAACTCACTCTATCAATTGCTAGTTTCGTTTATCAGTTTATCTTGACCTCACGCTGGTTATATTTCTGGTCTCTGTCCGTTTATTCCTCTATTACATGTAAGTGTATTCTATTTGCTTACTAAGTCGTTGGCTCATCTTTTTCTCGTGTTCTTTCTTCTTCCAGATAATCTCAAACGCCCCTCAGGTAATTCTGGGCTAAACGCAAACCAACCAGAGGCTGAAGTTATGTGTGTAATCCTCACGGAGTGGCAGACATTGAATGTATATGACAATCGTGTCGAATTATATTAGTTAAAAACAACGCATACAACCAAAGCATACTGAATTTCACTACAGTTACATACGTGATATCACAGTTGTGGTAGTCAAGTTAGTTTTTGGTTACCATTGAAAAATGCTAAACTTTATGAGGAGGGTTGATAAGTGCGCTTTCTGATGGTTGAGTGTAGGGAGGAGGAACGACTTATTTAGAAAGCCTAAGGTTTTCAGGTAATTCACGCACACATGACAAGAATTTATTTGTATGTATTTCTGTTCATCGATATATTGGTCACTATAAGATGTTGATTCGAGATTTCACTATATATGTTGCTTTTATTTTGTCCATATCTTCCAAAAAACAGTAAAACGTCGTTGTATAATTATTCGTATCAAATATTGGGCATTGAAGAAGTTGGTAGCGCAAGTTATGGATCCCTCGTTGAATTACCCTCAAATTTACAAATCTCTCAGTAGTGACGCTAAAAAGTAGTGTTTTCTTAATATATAGTTAATTAACATTCAAGGAAATTAAGTGATATCAGTAAATACGACGAACAAGCAAATGATTATGGTAACATGTAAAAGTTTTCACTTATTCAAGCAGCTTGTGTGGCGAAAAGTTTGGCCGTTCAAGACTGTCATGAATTAGCTGCAGTTTTCTTACTGGGCAAAGCAAGGTTGGTTCAGTGTTTCCGTATTTTGTAGTCATAGCAATAAGTTAACAGCAAAAATGCATCTTTATGAAAGCGCCTATATACGTCTAAACTGTAGCAATTTTAAACATAAGAGATCGATTTCACCGTTCACTACTCATACCTATGACATTTTTAATTCACTCATTTTATTTGCATATGCCTTATTTTGGCTGTTGTAATACCGACACAAAAAATGACCTGGAGCCTTGCAAAGATATGAGCACTGGCCCGAATTCCAATGTCATAATAACACGACAGGATAATAACAACAAAGCCAATCGAAACATGGCAACATGAACTTATGTACATACGTACGAAGTTCTACGTTGCAACTGACTGACAATCGAAACAGTATGTTAGTAATGACAAAATGAAGTTATAACCACGGTAATGATGAAGCTCCTAGTCCGTTATCGCCCTAATGTCCGTCATTTTAAGGTACGCAAGTAGTAGTGATATCTCTCAGTAAATCTCAGGAAATATAAACGGTTTTTTTCGGCATACTCAATTTTTAAATACTCGAAAACCTACCCAATCGGAACAAGAGATGAATTAGACATAACAAGTAAAACTGGACGTTATTTAGAATAATTAAGAAAACATGCATTATCACGTGCTTGTGAAACTATTTCGGAAAGAAACGGACCGAATGTCCACTCAGTCTAGACAATTAGAAATATGGTCAAAACACTGGGAGTCAGTTTAATTAACCTCCAGTTATCCTTTAGTTACTCACTGTCTCCAAACAACCCGGATGTTGAATCGACACAAATATCGCGAATTTTTTGGAGGTTGTAATCCTCATGTGCATTCTGAAGCGAGGAAGTGTCATTGACCCAAATGGACTGACTCCCTGTTTATGGTGGTCCAGCTTAACAGTCAAGTTGGGTAAGAGTCGGGCATAATCCTTATCGATTAGTCCTAATAGCTGATCATTATAGTTCATAGTAAAGAAAATCAATCTCGTTTGATAACCACAGGCGGCCTATACTCCATTGGGAGTAACAGGCGTAACTTAACTATTAGTGTCTAAAATGTTGGCTCCCATAAACATTGGAAACTTATCTGATTACCAGAAAACCGGGCTGGTTTCACACCTGGACATAAATGTACTGACCAAATATTTACTCTTTTTCCATTTTTGTTATTTGAATAGACAATGCCGTCTCTGTGCTAATATGATATGGTAACTTGAACTGATTTACGTACGTACGAGGTTCTACGTTGTGGCTGACTGATTTCGTCAATTTTGGGAACATTAACATGTCTATAGGTATAGCATGTGCTTTTCGCCATCTATGTGCGAAATACTTTTACAAGACTGACATGACCCGGAACCTGCATTCACTCTTGGTAGTAAGCTAATAGCAGTAGTCAAAAAGTTCATATAGCTGTGTGAGTACTGGTCGTTGCGTGAGTAATGAGATCAATTCACATATCGTGAAAGCTTGAGCGGCCTGTGCCGATCTGAGTCATCTTTGGTACCTTCACGATATTAGTCTGGTTATGAAAAGTTGCGTCTGCAATAAGCCGGTGAGGGCAGTTCTGTTTCAATGCTTGTAAAACCTGGTCTCTCTGATTTGAAGTTATGAGGAAACTCTCTGTGTCCGATCGTCGTTGTCTCCGAAGAATTTCTGGTACTCATTGGCAACACTATGTCACTAATACATAGGTTCGGCAACGTTACAGCAACAATAATTCAGTTGGTATCGCGATCTTGAAACACTGACTTTGGTGCACAGACATATACTACGAATGTTGCCCCTAAGAATTCCAAATTGTGTATGATTTGGCAACTCGGGGACTGGTTGGAAAAAGCGGTGGGTTGGTTAGTGTATGACATGGTGTCGCGGTATGGAAGGAAGCATTTCAGGACTGGTATATGTTAATTCTTCATGACTCTCTGGTTGGGATCCTAGAGATAGTGCAACTCAGTGGCTTGAAACGTTATCAGACATGCTTCGGAATAGAAACCAATGGCGATCATGTGGTAACTTTCATTTATTTTCTTTACTTAAGTTAGAGAAACTTTGATCGAAAGAATTTCTGGATTTTTTTACCCACTAACATTACCATTATTTTACTCTCATACACTAGTTTGTATTGTTTTTTGTTACTCTGACCGTTCTTTCTCTATCTCTTCACAACCTCACTTTTGTTTTGTGATGCATGCATATTTTGGTGTCTACTTGTATCAGTATTTGTGCTTTGAGTAAATAAATTTATTGCTGTTATCAAGCTAGTCGTAACACCACATAATCATCTCCCTTGGCAAGATTCCTGGTTAAGGGGTTGTGGATGCTCACTACCGAGGAGTAGTCCCATACGACGAAAAAAAGCAGCTATCCAGTGCTTTCTGGTTTTCAGTGGTTGTTTTACTTAGATCTCTGCATGTTGTTAACTACAAATTTAAAAGATCTCTATAAATCCCAGCTTGCTTGTTTGTTTGTTCGTTCGAAACGATATTCTTTCTTAATTTTGTTGTTATTTTAAATATTTGTCTTCATATAGTTGTTTGAATTATGAGAGTTTATTTAAAATACTTTTTAAACCAATTTAATTCATAAGCTATGTTTTTAGGTTTAAACAAACGTGACAGGAGTCCGCATGATTGTTTTGACTAATAATTGCAAATATTGAATCAGAATCAGTCAAAATATCACATGCAGATGACATCCACTGTTTATGTTCTCTTGGATCTTAAGTTTCAAAATCGTCTTATACCTTTTTTCTCTGTTCTATGAATCTTATTCTTCTCGAATTACATTGTCTCTTCCTCGTGGGCTGTCTCTTCCTAATCCTTCCTATTATCACTGATACACTAAATATTCTAGAATGTTCCCTCACTATTGACTAGCTCTGATTGGATACAAAAGAGCCAATCGGCGTTCTACAACTCAACCATGCTTTATTCCATTCTATGTCCCACTAACAGGCAACCAACTCATTATCGTGGTTCACATTTCGTTAATTTAATATTAGAAAAATTTTTGATCAAAAAAATGTACGCGTGTTTCTCATTCAAATGATATCAACTGATCATTAGTTTCATATAGTAAGGAATTAATAACTCCAATTGTCAATGAAAATATAATTATTATTTACCGAAATTAGTAATCGTATTTTATTGTTCATTAAATGTATAAGTACTGTACAGTAGAATTGAATTCTTACCATAAAAATCACCATCTTAAGCTATCTGCAACTATATACCAGTGACTCTAAGTCCAACACAAATTTACTGAAATTTATAACGAAAAATAAAATGTTCAATAAAAAATACACTCTGATACAGTAACATAATGGTGTTTCATTCTTTAAGCTGGATTTTGTTTTTGGTTATAAAGCTGTCATTGTTCAGCTTTCTGAGCAACATCATCAGCTTCACTTCTACCTGAAGTTTGTGCTGAACTTGTTCAGAAAGAAGAATAGTGACAGCTCCACAACTCCATCATAACCACTGACAAGTAGACAGAGTCATATTGGTAGATGTAGACTACCTGGTTGGGGTCCAACAGACGATAGTAATTGGTGGTTACAGACCGTGAACGACATGGCTTAAAATCGTTTGCAATGGTGCAGGTGCATTCATTCATTGTGTTCTCTCAAATTCTAACCTTCTGAATATCCCATCCTCTCTATCTTTCTATTTCTAAATTTATCTCACTGAACCATACGTCTTAAACAATATCTTCGAACCCTAATCTTCTTAATTACAGCTAATACTTCTACGATCGCTCTCACTACTGGATTTGAATTGACAATTGCGTATCTTTGTTGATGCGGTATGGTAACCTGATCTTATGTACTTATGTACGAATTTCCACGTTATTACTGACTGACTGACTGACCTGAACTACAAATTTCCTCCATCCTCTCTCAGTTACATCGACTCACTTCATGACTTGTAACTTTAAAACATACAAGATAATTAACTACCTCTCTTATTGATTTTTTTGTCTATTGGAAAAGTATGAGGCGCAGAATTTTTAATCCATTCCATTCTCTAATTCTTCTTCTTGTTCCCATCTTTTTTAGATGTGAATTTGCCGCTAAAAATGTAACCGCTGAAGCATCCACATTATTTACAGCAGCAAAATATTTTATACAAGCTGATGATAAATTAATATCAACTAATTCTATTAATTATGAAGAGAATTTAAATTGTGCCATACTTTGTTTATTAAGAATAGCAAGAGTAATCAAAATCACATTGAATATATATATATATATTTCATTGTTCATATTCATGTGTTTGATAGATTTATGAATTGAATGAATTATTCAGTTTAGCAACAAATGTTTACATTTATCTGGTGGATACATTAATGGTAATTTTATTATTATTATTATTATTATTATTATTATTATTATTAATATTGTCCAGTTCGTTTCTTTTTTTAAAAAAAAAGACGGCTCACCAGAGCTTTCAGGTTTTTGATGTTGTTCTAACAATGATTCATTCATGATTTCAATGTGTGAAAACAACAATCTCCATAATTCTGTAGTGTTCTGACTAATGACTAACTTCGTGAGGAAATTCTCGAAGTTCTCTAGTGTGAAGAAGTGACTAGTGGGGTTCAACCCTGTCGAGTGTAGGCAGTTTCTCGAAATCCGTAGATTGATCACAGTTAGACATTAACATCGTTAGATGCCAGCCAGCTCAGTGATTTAGAGGTTGGGCGTTCGCATCAGGGACCAAAGGTCCTGGGTTCGATTCCCGCAAGGAGCGGAGGTCGTGGATGCGCACTGCCACTGATAAGTCCTAAATTAAGACGAAACGACCATCCAGTGCTTCCCAGGTTTCTAATGGTGATCTGAAAATAGTTCACTCATGATTTCAGTGTTAAAAAATATATTTGAAATATTCAAATTACCCTAGTAGTATTATTATTATTCAAAAAACAGAGTGAAAATTAATAAAAATAATTCAATCCTCACAACGGATGGAAGGGGTTAGAAAAGGTCGACCCTAAACATGTTACACCTTACCTAACTTCACGGATTTCCGTCTCCAGCAGTGAGATCATTTGAAGAGCGGAGCTAACATGTTAACTTCCTATAAAAAGGTCATGTGTGACCGGTCTCGAGTAGTTATCCCTTGTGCTCTGCGGCTGCACCCCCAGTTCTCTAAGACCAACGCTAATCTAACTTCCTTTTCAGGTTCATGGAAAAATATCCTTCCATAATATAGTCAGCCGGGAAGTGACATCTACGCGCTTATACCCGTAACAGCACACCAGACCACATTGGTCATAATCAAATCGTTCCTATATACTCTTATTTATTTATCAATCAACTAACAATACAATCTATACAACCTAAATAAATAATTTCATTGTATGTGTTTTATTTTGATAAACATTTTAGAAAAAATAAGATAGAATTATTATTACTTTTTATTTTATTTTCTAATTTTTTGATAGAGACGACATAAATTTCATCAAACAATACCTTATATTAAACGTGCCATAGAAATTGTCTCAAAAGATATTCTATTAAGTTTAGAATTATACAAACGACTAAGTTATTGTCAATTGTCTATACGTAAGTTTTTGTATCATAATGTTATGTATTGTATGTTCCATGAAATTATACAGATGATTGGCCTGGTGCTTTGAATACCATTCTATTGATACAAAATTTAGTCAAAGAACAATTGAGTAGGTGTTCTCAATTTATACTCAAATTAATGATTATAATTTTTTTTTTATTGATTTCCATAGCATTGAATTCATTCGATCTCTACATACAATATTGGAATATTTGTGAAATATTTCGTGTACTACTTATTCTACTTTGTATAGTATGTGGGTTTTTTTTTTCTTTTACCAAATTATTATTATTATTATAGCCACCTTCTCATAGAATAAAACATGATTTGAATTTATCTGGTTATTCTTTGAAACAATACAATGTGATCAGCGTAAATGATGATGACAATAAGGATGAGAATGAGAATGATGCTCATGGGGATGATGATGATGATGAAACAAGGGAAGATTCACTTCAATCAACAATGTATATGAATAATAATTTATTTATTCTGTTACAATCGTTTATAGTAAGTAAAACATTACATTGAATGAAATTTTAATGATTATTCACGTAAAATGCGATGTACAATAGTATACCATGCTCTACACAACTGATCAGACTGTTGAGACGTCATCAGTCGAGGTGGTTGGGACATGTGCTGCGTTATGCTTAACTACCGACTGCCTCATCGAGCTATGCTTTGCGATGTAGGAATAAGTTTGGTGAAAGCCATGCGTGGTCAAACCAAAACATGGCAGAAATCAATGAAGTCACTGACAAGTGAACTAAGTCATGTCGGTGGATGTCGACTACCTGGTTGGTGTCCGCGATTCAGGTGCATCCACTCTATGTGTTCGCTCAAATCCTAACCTTCTGAATTCCTCATCACCTTTATCTTATCATTTTTAAGTTTATTTCACTAGTTTCTACTTGAATAATATCATTGAACCCTAAAATTTCTGATAACTGCTAATACTTCTACTACCTCTACAATTATGCGTTTTGAAGTGACATATGCGTCTCTGTGTGCTAATGTAGTATGGCAACTTGAACTGATGTATGTACGTACGAAGTTCTACGTTGCTGTTGATTGATTAATTGAATTCATACCAGTTACTATTTATAGGTATAAATAGTCAAAATTATCTAATAAGATTAGTTCTAATGTGTGTATTAAAACGATTAGCTCAATGTAGTGAAATGATTCAGATTATCCCAAAGTAGGTTGTTGCTGATGGTGTCTTCTGGCGCATAAATATTTAGCTGCATATGTTCAGAACGGGCATCGGCCTCGTGACTTACGAAGAAAGACTCGGCTTTCATCATGAGACATCATAACTCTTCTGAATGAAGATCATCTAACTCCTAGAGCAGAGTTTAAATGGTTTCAATTGATATTTCTGGTCAGCATCTTTTTATCGATTTAGTTTTCTACGCGATGGGGTCGCCAACCCCAAGCCCAACCTTCCTCGTTTATCCGGGCTTGGGACCGTCAGTAGCTCCAGAGAAAGGCTACAGGTGGAGTTGTTGAAATGAAAATCAGTTATTAATAATAATTATTATTATCATACATAATAATATTTTATTTTTAATCTTTTTAGTTAGCGCATCAATCAAACGATCTTGTAGAATTAGAATCATTGTCAGTGATGCTTCAATCATTTGTCAATTTAGAACAACGTGAATTAATCAGTTTAATTCTACGCGAAGTTGTTCGAGTGGATACATAATGAAAAAAAGAAGAAGCCAGACAAGAATAATCAATCTGTCAACATTTTCAAACAACCAAACCAACAAAAGCAAACTTCCTCACCTTCCGTGTCCCTGTGACTGCCTGTCTGAAAAAAACCCTTCAACTACTACTACTACTGTTACAATGGATTCACTTCCTTGTTCTTGTGTCATATTGATGTGATATTTTCTTCTTCTCCTTTTTTTCTATTCATTCTTTTCCTCAATAAACTTGAATTAACTCCAATCAATTTAGTTTTTAATGGGCTTTTTTAGTCAGCCATTGTAGGGCACCATCATCATGTGTGGAATGTGAATTGACAATTGCATCTCTCTGTGTGTGCTATTATGGTGGGTGGTATGGGCAACATGAACTGTGATGTACGAAGTTTTTTACGTTGTAACTGACTGAATGACCATATCATAGAGATTGTTGAATTTTTATAATTACACATTACGGAATGATGTTTTCGTTATTAGTTAGCTGATTATTAAGAAATCAGAAAGCACTGGAACTCCTCAACAATGCACATCTACAGCTATTAGAGTTGTTAAGTTATAAAAATGTTTGTGATTATGTTGCGATGATTAGATTGTTGTCGTTTGTCTCCTCAATGACTTACATCCATCTGAAATAAACCTAAAGGTCATCATTGTGTCTATTTCATGTGTTATTCTTGTTCACTGTTGTACTACAATTTGAATTAACCTAATTTTTCATTGAAATGATGAATGGATCATTGTTAGACCACCACCACAGCACTAGACGGCTGTATTCGTCCTAGTTTGGGACTCATCAGTGGCAGTACGCATGCACAACTTCCGTTCCTTGTGGGAGTCGAACCCAAGATCATCGATTTTGCGCGCGAACGCCTAACCTGTAAACCACTGAGTTAGTACTCAACAGTGTTAATGTCTGACTTTGATCAGTCCAAGATATGACGCAAATTCACCCATTGTCTTCGGTAAGTAAGTACGTACACTCGATAGGGTTGAACTCCACTAGTCCCGGCTTCTCACTAGAACTCTAAGAAATTCCTCACAATGCTAGTCACTAGTGATTTGTTTTCATTATAAAGTTATGGAGATTGTTAAGTTTATCATTGAAATGATGAATCGATCAACAATAAAGCAAAATCATAATCTACTTTTGTTTGAGATTCTGGCCTTTAAGGTGGTGGAGAAAATTTGTAGCTCAGGTGGTGTTTTGTACATCTAGAATCTGTATGTTCTCTAAACATTACACCTGTTAGATAATCCAACTATTATTTTTACTAATAGCATAGTCTAGTTTGAGAAAATGTATTCAACAAAATTATCGGTCCTGTTGATAGAAAGATCAAGATAGGCTCATCATTGGTGATTCACCATACTTCGGCCGTATTAAAAGTAAAATATTTTATAAAAACTTAAGTCACCTCACTCAACGGTGAGTCTATTGATTACTGATGTTATCCGGTTGTTTAGACCGTAGTACGCATGGTGGGGCATTGAACTTGGAGATCGGACACCCTAACCACCACTCCACAAGCGAATAAATGAAGTATATGTTGACATGTTCAAAATTTAAAGCAAAATGTGATTGATTGCAATAGCTTAACCAGTTAAAGTTCTTTTCGTTGTTAGATCTTTAATCATACAAAAAACAAGACTGGATACACTAATTAGGCTTGGGTAACAATGTGATATGCAACTCTCTTAGCATGTGTACCAACTTGACAGATCATTTGTTTGGGAAGAAGACAAAAGGATTGCCTACAAGAGTGAACATAGGTTTAACTGTAATGTCTTAATCCGATTAAATGAAATCCATTGTTACCGATATCAGCAATCATACTTTGTATGTCATTAGTTTCTTATATCGAAGAATAGAATTAGATTGTGTTGCGATCTCTTGATTACGAGCATACAAGGCAATCAACTAAGGGAAAAAAATCGGATTACCGCACTAGATCATGTAATGCTCAAATACACAATATACTACTGTCTGTTTGTTTTCACTCCTTATTGGCTTATCAATAGTCTACTGTCACAGGACAGTTTAAAGTTCTCTGCCAGAACACCATTAATCATGAATACAAATGTATAAAAATGATTCGTAGTATAGTGTGCTCATTACATGTAGATACTATTGTACGGAATACTGATCGATCAGCATCAGAAAGGATTAAGCCACTCATCAGTGAATCATATCAAAGTAGATAAATTGCCGCTTGATTAGCTCAATGATACCATCTCATAGTATATATCGGGATGACATGCATTCGAATTTATTGTCTCCAGATAACAAACAGGTTAGTGTTTAGATCAATCCATAAGGACACATATTCGACTTAAATAATATTGAAATCTTGAATACAGAGAGTATTGAAAACACTAAAGTGAATTTTCAGAAGCTTGGCATTCAGTTCAATCCAAAAACATATTGAGAAATCGATCCAATTTACCAGCCAATCAGTTAAGTCATGAACAAATATAAAACCAAAAATTAAATTAGAGGGAGATCAAATCAAAATAAAGCGGTGAATAGCATCGGGTTTAAGGTCACCTACAGTCAGTCAAGATCGACAGGACAAGTTGTGAGTCATATTCAGAGAAATTTTGAATACTTCACTTCTACCAGACATTTTTAGTGATGATATTGTTTAGAAGAACAATGAAATTTCACGATAAAAAACCATCCAAATAAGAGAACAAAACTCCATCAAAACCAATCATGGCTTAACCTTCTAAGGGACATACAAATATAAATGTGTATGAATAGTAAGTGCACATTCATTTGATTCCATTTGGCCAAATAAACTTCCCTTCTCAGTTTCTGTATTTTCTTCTGAAGAGCTTGGATCATTTATAGAAAAACTAATAATGTACATGATGCTTCATGTGATGGTTGTTTCGAGACATACTGTTACGGATGCACGGAAGCAGGTTACTTGGTATGCTCGAACGAGTTCACCTTAGTCGGAAAACGAACACGAGGACATGCTACTCTAATCCGAGGGTCCCAAACCCCCCAGTGAGTAAGAGAAGAAAACTTCATATGAAGTAGAACATGTATTCTACAAAACGCCTAGAAAGTACGAGGTCCGAGTTCAGAAGAGAATCAGGATCTCGGACTAGGGATCTGGGTCATAAAATGTTACAGATAATGCGTATTTATACAGTTAGGTTGAATAGGAAACAACATTTGAAGTGACATTGATAGTCAGGACGAATAATGGGAAACAACATTGAAGTACGTGACACTGATAGCTAGGACGACCATAATACTGACCAGTAGGAATTGACCAATAGAATTAGACCTACGAAAATAATCCTCTTAGGATATTCGATAAATATCCCAGTACATACACAAGAACAAATGGTTATATTATCACCTAGAAATCATGAACGAATCATTGTTAGACCATCATTAGAAGCCTGAAAGCACTAGATGTCTGTTTCATCCATGCATGGAACTCATCAGCAGTGTACATCCACGACATCTGCTACTCGTTGGATTCAAATTTTTAGGACCTTTGATCTTGTGTCCCGACGCTCAAACTTTGAACCACTGAGTCGGCATCCAACAATGTCAATGTCTAATCCCTGATCAATTGAAGGTATTTCACAACTTCAGCCATTTTGTCTTCCATATAGTGACTGCCGCCTAAACCTGACAGGGTCAATCCTCACTGTCTCGATTACATCATCAATTGTTTAGTCATATTCAAGGGATTCCCCAATATAAGCACTTTTTTTCTTAAACAAAATATCAACATTACTCTCTATTGAATAGAAATTTATTTTTTTTTTGGTTTATCTATAATCCATTAGTTTAATAGCATTTAAAAGCAACATTGTCTTTTTTTCAAATTGAATTTAATAGAATCTTCTCAAGGTCGTCTAGGAAATAATAACTAATACAATCATCACAAATAGGCAGCAACACTTACATCGATGTTGAGAGTAATTCTTCTGATTATATCAATCAGATAAACTGCATTATCTGTTAGCCTCCCTTTTTTCTAATATATACATTGAATATAACATTACAGACAAATGTGATTCAACACAAATATGATGGGACTGTTAGAAAAAATAGCACATCATAACATCTTATGCATTTGAGTGATAATGATGATGATGATGATGATGTATCAGAAAAAAAGAAATGATAACTCCCAGAATTAATTTATGAATTATTATTATTATTAGTATTATAAATATATTTCATTACCTGTTGTCTATGAAAAAAAAAACTTCAGATCTGTTGACCAGACACCATCAGCAACAATCTACTGTGGTAGGGAATAAACCAGATTATTCCAGTGGAGAAGGAGGAGGAGGAAGAAGCGATGGAAGTGGATAGGATATACAGTGCGGAAAGCATTCAACTGCGACATAAGATGATAAGTTTTCACTTGGAATCCTCAAGGTCAAATGAAAAGAGGAAGGCCAAGTGACACATTACGCTGAGAAATAGAGAAAGATATAAGAAGAATGAGCAAAAATTGAACAGAACTGGGAAGACAAGCCCAGGACAGAGAAGATTTGAGAACACTGGTCGGTTGTCTATACTCCATTGAGGGTAACAGGTTTAAGTAAGTAAGTAAGTAAGTAATCATATAAACAAATATATATTATTGTTGCATAATTACTAAGTAACTGGATTACTATGTAATGTATATATAAATATATATATTCTGGTTATCGTTTTTTTCAGCGAGTTGTTCGCTAACCCGATGACCAACCGTCCTAACTAGACATTAAAATGAAACTTGTTGGAAAAAATAGTAAACCAGAATGACAAGTGAAGAACAAAGTAGGCAAATCAATCATCGACATTCAAGAACAGTGAAACAATTGAGTAGAACACTTTGAAGAACTCTTGAATATATACTAACCACACTGAGCCTACTCAACATAGAAGCAGAACCTACGGGCTTGTCAAATGATCTAGACCCATCAACAATTGGGAAAATCAGCACGGACATTAAACAAATCAAGAGTGACAAAACAAAAGGACCAGATAACATTCTGGTTGAGGCAACGAACTCACACACACATTCTCATTACCAAGATTTGGGATGAAGAACAAGTACCAACAGACTCGAGGAGAAATCTGATCAAGATATCAAAGATCTCAGTAAGTGTGAGCACTACAGATGCATCACTCTTCTCGCAATACCAAGGACAGTATTCAACAGCGTGTTGTTTAAGCAAATGGAAGATTTAGTAGATGCCCAACTTGGAGATCAGCAGTCTGGATTCCATAAGGATCAATCGTGTACCGACCAAATTGCGACACTATGGATGGTTGTGCATGGAATTCATTACCCTACATCAGCTTCATTGACTACGACAAAGGCGTTCGACGGAGTGGACAGGATGACACTATGTAGGCTTCTTGAACACTACGGAGTGCCTGAGAAGATAGTCAACATCTACGTAATCTTTATGATGGATTAAAA